ATCAATATCCACACTGCCCTAGGGTGAAAGCAATTTGTAGCAGGTAAATCGAAAAATATTCAGAGAGGAGAGATAATTATTGCATTCTGAGCAGAATTTCATGCCACCTTGTTGCTATTGTATCCCCTCTCCCAGAGAGGGTTACTTGTGGCAATTCTTACAATCTGCCTCCATCTCGGCCTGTCATCATTGTTATTGTTGTTGTTATTATACCTACCGGGGTTGTACCTATGGAAAACTAAAGGTGGATGATAGACATTTTAAGGGTGGGTGCGTGATAAATATTGGTGAATTATAAATAATAAAAGAGTAGATTTTAAAGATAGGCAAGGGGGTTAATAAAGGTGAGTAGAGGGCCATAACATTTTTTTAGATTGGGTGAAAAACTTTGAAGCTGGTTGGTCTCGCCCACCATAAATACATCCCTGTATTACTGTTAACTTGTTTTTAAATATTATTAAATTAATATTTAATAGTGGATGATTCTAGTGCCTCCTCTTCATACAGAAATGGTAAATAATAATAATAATAATAATAAATAAAATCTTTATTTACACACGGAAGCTTGTATCACCCAACCGGTGTTTTTCAACAAGGCCGTGATGCCATTATAACAATATAAAAAACGTTAAAAGGAAAAGAATACAGGTAATGTAAAACACACAATTAAGATATTAATCAATATTATAATTATTTGTCACACAAGAAGTTGGTTCTTCCATCAAAGCAGATCATTTGGAACCTTCGATGGTCTGTCTGTTCAGTTGTTTTGGTTGTGATTTGAAATTGTGGTGTTTGAATGTCTGTCCAGATTGAACTTAAGTGTCCTTGGCTTTCTTTTAAATTTGAATGTCCTACAACAGTCTATTATAGAGATCAGTTCTTCAAAAAGCAATTAACAGAAAGCACAGATAAATCTCCTTTTCAATTTCCCATAAAGTCTCTTATAATAGTGTTCTAAATCTTTACTGTGAAAGTGTTTTTAGTTTCAGAAAAGAGCTTGGAGAAATAACTGGACCTACTTTTTTTTCCTGACATGTACGTTTATCTTCCTGCATAGTTGTGTTTCTAGTTTCTGTACCTCTCAATAATAATAATAATAAATAATATTACGAATGAAAATAATGAGTTCAACTTGAGTGCATAGCCATTCACAACACAATCCAAAAGAATACTGTAGGCATGGTGAATAAAACTTCCAAAGTTCTGTGGAATTAATGAGCTTAGGGAGTTTTACCATTCTTTATGGATTACTTTTTTGAAGAGTGGAAAAGCAAGAAGTAGGTTTGTGTCCGCATAAAGCACAAAGAACTTTAGGCCAAATAAAAAACATTTCTAGTTTCTCATCTCCTCGCACATCCATTTTCTTTGCCTCACCATTTAAAAAAAATTTATTTCCTTTATTGTACGAAATGTACAAAAATCTGGCTAACTCACATCAGTAAAATTCCTCTCTCAATTGTTCGTGGTTGGGGATACATACGGTATGAATCATGTCTAGTGCTTCTTTTATTTGCTTTCAATGTGTCTACTTGGTGTGATAAAGTAGTAGGTGTTTCCTATTGACCATCTTGGATTTGCCATCTCCTAATAAAAAAAAATGTCCTTATTCTCCTTTTTTTCAAAATATGAGGATGAGATAATAATGTAATATGTTTCAAGCTTTGTTTAATAATTTTGATGTACCTTCAACTGTATTTTTTCCCATTGGACAAGCTTAGGACCCTAGTCATCCAATGCCACGAAATGTCGTCAGACAGAAAATATCCAAACAGAGCTAATTGTGAATTCCCTGTAATATTGTGGTCTGAACAGCACAAGCTTTTGTGCCACCCTAAACCATGAAATCGCTTTCTGTTGAACCACATCAGGGATTTTATTCTAGGACACTGATCACAGTTTCAGGAGGTTCTTTGGTTTGGAACCCCTGTTTGGACTCCCCTGTTGGCAAATTTCTACAGCCATCACTGAGTGCAGCATATACTTTGTTGCAACATATTGATCGGTAGTGGTCGCTGTGGCATTGACAGGATTTTCAGCATGCTGACCTATTTCCTCAGATCCCTCATATCCTGTAATTGTTCGTATCGACCTGATGAGTACTTGAGCTATATTTTAAGGTTAGTGACAACCATACCTGTGGGCCTATCATATCATTTTTAATGAAATTTCAAAATTCCTTTGTTTAGCAGTAATGAGATTATTAAAAGTTAACGTTATGCATTATTTATCCTTTATATTATGCATTATTTGCCTAAATGAAACACTTAATAGGCCAAATTAAAAAAAAATACTAGTTTCTCGTCCCATCTATTTTCTCTGCCTCACCAATAGGATCAAAGGGATGAATAACTATTTATTCAGATCGTAATATTCAGCTATTCATAACTTAATATTTTCATCATCAATGAAAACTTTTAAAACAATAGGTACCGTAATAATAATAATAATTGGACTAAAAAGATGTGTGGTATTATGAACCCTTTTTTCATATTGGGAAGATTGAAATTGAAATTGAATAGATTAGTATTAGGGATGAGTTAATATAGGGACAGTGGACATGGTCGTACTGTAAGTGGACATCCTAATGATCATTGGCCTTGACAAAGTGATTCATTATAAATATAATTAAAACCGGTCTCTCTGGAATGTTATCTTAATGGAAATTTGTCTTCCATGTCAAGTGCCGTATTTAAGCTGGAAGCTTTTCAGCTTTCGTGACTTACAACCTCTTTCTACGGAGAAAAACATTTTTTTTGGTAATTTTGTGAATTCTCTCCTCTTTTCCTGAAAGTAGAAATGAGACCAGAAAAACACTTCTTCACGATCAGGTGTATCAGAAACGCACATTATTCCTGACTTGACACCAATGTTTTTTTGTGATGCAATCTTTACTGCAACACAAAATATCATCCTCATATCTCACCTTTATTATGAGTCTTCGTGTATAGTGTTTGACTGAATATTAAAATCTAGCCATTCATTCATTCTTTTATGTTCTTTTACACTAAAAGAAATTAAATAATATTTTGAGTATTTATGGTCAATATTTTGTAGGGGCTATGGTAAATGATGGATAATTGGGAGTGGGGTAAGGTGTTATAGAGGCACAGTGGGAGTAGGAAATACACCCGTACAGTAACATCTGAAAGGCGGAAAGGCTAAACATGGTTGTGAAGGGAAAAAAATTGTTTTTTTTCAGATTTCCATGTATGTTGTAAGATTACATTGAACACATACCGACATTACACTAGACATATTATTTGTACAGTATTCCCACTGCCAAATACGACTTTGCGTGTCTGTTAAATGTTTGCAATACATTGATAAGGAATTTATCAATGTTGATACTGAGTGCATGGATGGAATATATGTATAATATTATTAGGTAGTATATATACTTCCATTATGGTGAGTGCCAGGGAACTGAGGATGCTCTACTACAATGTATGATTGTACTCCAACGGGAATAAATATTCTACGTGTCCATGGATTATTCACTAAGGAGCTGTGATCATCAATACAGCTACTTTGCACATATATTATTATGTTCTCCAAGGCATTATGCTTACATTGCTTGGCATCACTCAAAAAGGTTTTCTCGGATTCAGGGATCAACTTAGATTTTTAATTTTCACATGAAAATTATAGAATTTTTTTGCAATTTTTTTTATGTGTGTTTTATTTTATTGTAGCAATGTTGTTTTTTGCATCAGTAATTATCATGTAGATATGATATTTCTTTTTGTATCACAGTTCGTGTTTAATTTTCTCCACAACCATTACTGTCATTACAGTACCTTTTGTAGACATGTGAAGTGTATGTTTATATATTAATTTTGTATATTCATTCATTTACCTCTTATAAACATGACCTAGTTTTTACAAACAGTATTCTGAGCATGTGCTAAAGTAGCAATTTAGTGTAATTGTTCCTCAGTTGAAAAAATTGAAATTAGTCCCACAAATATTATAATTTCAAAATTATAAACTTCAATAGAATAAAATATATAGATATGCAAATGTTTAAAATTGTTTTGAAAATTGTTAAATTACTATTGATGGAACTGCTTTCTACTATTTCAAAGGAGGAAAATTAGATTTAATTGACTGCCTCTGCACATGCTCAGTAGGCCTATACTCTTCACGAAACTAGGTATTACATTTTTTCACAGTTCTGTTGCCCTCTGCATTACTACATTTGATTTAAAAATACAAATTTAATATATTTTTTTTCTTTCCCTTATACTTAATATTTGATGATATATATATACTGTCTCTTATACACATCTGGACAGTGGACATGGTCGTACTGTAAGTGGACATCCTAATGATCATTGGCCTTGACAAAGTGATTCATTATAAATATAATTAAAACCGGTCTCTCTGGAATGTTATCTTAATGGAAATTTGTCTTCCATGTCAAGTGCCGTATTTAAGCTGGAAGCTTTTCAGCTTTCGTGACTTACAACCTCTTTCTACGGAGAAAAACATTTTTTTTGGTAATTTTGTGAATTCTCTCCTCTTTTCCTGAAAGTAGAAATGAGACCAGAAAAACACTTCTTCACGATCAGGTGTATCAGAAACGCACATTATTCCTGACTTGACACCAATGTTTTTTTGTGATGCAATCTTTACTGCAACACAAAGTATCATCCTCATATCTCACCTTTATTATGAGTCTTCGTGTATAGTGTTTGACTGAATATTAAAATCTAGCCATTCATTCATTCTTTTATGTTCTTTTACACTAAAAGAAATTAAATAATATTTTGAGTATTTATGGTCAATATTTTGTAGGGGCTATGGTAAATGATGGATAATTGGGA